AATAAGTATCAATCATTCTGTATAGCAAAGATCTTGGTTTCTTTTTTAATTGACTTCTGATATCATGTTAATACAATTGAAAGAGTACTCATTTCCTTTTTTTGGCTTCTGTCCAGTTTCCACTTCAGAGGGTAGATTGTACTATTGCTAGAAAAACCAGCCTTTCAAAACCAAAAAATCAGAGTAATTCCATTTTTGCCAGAAGTTGGCAAAGAAAATAATTTTTTCTTTACTAAATAAATGTAAAAACAAAAATTGACAGCTATTATTTAAAATATTTTGACAAATAAGAATAAAAAGACTGCATTATATTTTGTAGGAATTCTTCTTGGAAGTTTATGCTTTAATAGTTTTTTGCTCTTAGGAAGTAGATGTACAGTATTTGATTTTGGGTGCAAATCAAAGTTCTTATAAAAATTTCAAGAGGTTTTTATTATTTCACCAAATTTTTGTGAAAGGAAAATTTAGCAGGACTTCCATTTACTAAGTTAATGCGGGTAGTCAATATGAATAGTTATTGTGGAGTATGATACCTTGTATACATTTGCACATGTTTACAACAGAAGTAAAACATTTTTTAAAGACCTACCAATGTTCGTATTTATGAATCTGTCTTTAAAAGAGATAAACCAATCTTTTGATAAACTTATCCTTGTTCGTAAGAAAATAAAATCTCCAACTTTACAAATTAATAAATCATTTCATTAATCACAATCAGAGATCATCACTTCAATGCAGTAGCTGAAACGTTAAAACCAATGTCATCTTTAATATGGATATTCGTGAGATTCCTGCCAGTTTTGAACATTTGAGTATAAAACCGTTGGTTTTTTTTTCCACATCAGTATTTTATTAACAAGTTTACTGTAAGGTGTTACAAGGCTTAGATCAGTCGTTGGAGTAATGTAACGAGAGTTCAAACAATAGATAGTGGTGAGGTCTTTAATGAAAATTCGACGTTCTGTGACATTTCCGCATATATTTGAGCTTGTTGATCATTGAGAATGTCTGCACAGTTTTTACCATGTACCATTACAGAAAACAAAACACATCTATAAAATTTTTTTCACTTGTGTTGGCTGTCCAAAATTTGTTATGACATCGAGTTGAATAATTGGAATTATAGATTATTTAAATATAACATAACAGTTGACAAACATTGAAATCTTGTTGTTATTTTTCCTTATTTGTGTTTTTCCTTAAGTTCAGATCTTCTTACCCAACAGCCTGACCATAAGGGTAAAAACTTAAAATTCCCGGATTAAAGTTATAAACCGCAGTTATAAGTTAACTAGCTTGAATGACATGGATTTGATTTCCTTCGGACATGACGACGGACAGAAGTAAAAATGGAAAATCAGTTTCCAGACTTAAGAAGGGATAAATCAATAAGCAGATTCTTGCCTTATATCTAAGGTGCAAAGCAGTCGACAATAACGAACCACTATGTTTTTTGAAAACTCGACCTATTATTTCGGACTTTTCACCATCTGGGACCCTCTGCCCTTTTCTGTGCAAGAAATGCGCACATGACATGAACTTCTCATTATACATTATAAAGATGCCCACTTATAGTCCGAAACAGTTAACGTTTTAAATTGAAACGCAAACAGTAAATAGTTCATACTTAACTATCATGAGCCTAAGCCATAAACAATATTATTTGTTGTACAATGATTACTTGGTAAAAATATTTTTCTAAAATTCGTCATTCACTGTTATAAATCTCCTCGTGCGCTCATGCCAGACAAAAAAGGCGAGTACTACGATAACCACCATGATAAAAAATCGAAAGTACGTATGGTGGAAAAGTCGAAATAACGAAACTACAGAATTTGAAAGAAGTCGACAGTAGCGATGATGAAAAGTCAAAAATACAGATGGCTAAATCACGAAATCATACGACCTTTCACCGCCTTTCACATCGTGGTTTCGCTTATTTTGACTACATCCACATCGCACATTTCGAGCTTATCACCATCCGTGAGTATTTTCGTTATATTCGATCTCGAGTCTAACTGTGTGTGTCTCGTATGACCATAACAGAACACCCGTATTTCTTCACTTAATTAGACACAATCAATATAAGTCGAACAGTACAGTAATGATGTTTTCGGCTAGTGCCTCGTCCAAGCTTTACAGCTGTGTACTCGTCAAATCAGATTCAATATTGAACTCGGCGATCGTAAAAACCTCCTGATATCTTGATAATCACACCTCTCTTCAAGGAGACAAAATAATACACATTTTTTTTATGAAACCTTCACATGATTGATGTGCTTGCTATGATGCCGATTTATAAAATGGTCAAGCATGGTCAAAGACATCTGCACCGATCTTCTTTTTATCTACCATAAGTGTCCTCGCTCGAGAAAAAGGTACACAAGTTGGTGAAGCATTGTGATCGGCCAGTGTGTCAATCGCCGTCATATTGTCGCTTAGTCGTATAATCAAAACCGTTAAGTACAGGAATTTGTATCTTAGGTAGCCACCAATGCCGCTAAATGTTTCAAAGGACTGACTGGAAAATGTAAGGTCAACATGAGCTATTGAGAGTTAAATAGAGATCATTTATACTATCTATCGCTCCCTTAAAACAACTCAGATTATTGAAGTCCCAACTCCCGGAAGGAAATGTTCCTAATTGACACAACATACATCTATTTAGATAAAGACCGTGTAGACCAAAGGAGCTAAAGAATTAGTATATCGTTTGAACTTCATTTCTCATTCACTAACAAATGAACACGATCCTCGAAGAGCCGTTAAACACCATGTCCTTAGGCACTCGAAGCACTCACATTCTGTATATTAGGTTGTCCCATCTCCTGGGTGTATCAGTTTTAGTTGACAATTGACCTAGATAAGGAAAAATACGTATATCATAAACTGCAATTTTCCAACAGGAGCTAGCATAAGTTTGGCATTTTGTAGTCTCGCTTTGCCGCCAACTTGCCTAAAAACCCACTGCAGGGTCCACTATTTCACCCCCCCCGCCCGCAACCCATACACACACACACACACCCTTATTTCCCCCCCCCCGCCCCCACCACACAGCACACAACACACACCCACGCCCACACGGTGTCATATTTTCCTTGCTCTTATTACACAAAATTTCTTAAATACCTCAGGTTAACAATAACATATACAATGGCCGCCCGCTAGCTCTGATTGTTATTTAATAAATACTTACGTAATTCAATACATTATCTCATTAACAAACTAGAAGGTTATAAGGAACAAAAATACATTTACACCACAATTCTTTTCTTTCATCACTCTACCAAAGTGAATACAACTCCCTCAAAGTCGAAGTGTTTCTTCTGGAAGCACCAATTCGCGCTTGACTATCAAGCTGGTTTTCTCAAGTGCAAGTACCTACTTGTTTCCACCTTTGTAAATGTAGTTCTACTCACAAAATATGTCAAGTCGTGATAACAACTTTATTGACGAAGCTTCACAAGGACGTACAGTTAAAGGATCCAAAAAGGATACCAACGGCCGAGAATAGCTAGGTCGCTTGAATTCGTTGACTTGAGTCCAACTCGTGGCGCACGATTTAGTACTATCGTATCGCACCCACTTAATATATACTTTGAGACGCACACCTACTGAACTTAGTAACATCGTACCACTTACATACAAATATCTCTCGTGCGCACCCACTTTATTCTCTCGTGCACACGACTAAGTAACTCGTGCGCACGACTAAATAACTCGTGCGCACGACTAAGTAACTCGTGCGCAAGACATAATATCTTGTGCGCACGAGATAAACAAAACACACACACACACACACACACACACACATGTCACCTCCGTGACCCCGTAGTTTGCTGGCACTTAAAAACAGTTTTTTTTTAATTCTTTGTGCAAAGTGACAAATTCATGAGATATATTAGAATTATGGATAATGCATGAAAAGCGTGCGTGTAACATATAAATGGCATAAAGCCAGTGTTTAAAGTACGTATTCGTACTTCATATTTTGGCTTATGCTTTCGTACGTCACCGCCAGCGAACTAACGAGCGAAAAAATCACCCTAGTCAGACTTTCTCATACTTTAGTACCATGTTTTATAGTCTGACAACCCCATTAGTAATAATGAAAAACATGCGATTCGTACGCAATTCAAAAATGTATACGCGCCATCTGCATGAATCAGGCAGGCCATTCAAAATCAGAACGTAAGTTTGCGCTAATTTGTTTACTAAATACTTACGTAATGAATTGTTGCTGTTTATTATAAAACAGACACTCCATTCAAATTGAAACACCAATTTTTCTTTCAAATTACATTTGGGAATGGTTTGAAGAGCTGTGAGCGGTGCAGTCGTGGACAAATGAATGAACGGCCGGCCGACCGACCGACCGAACGGACGAATTAATGAAGGGATAAATGAAAATTTCACAGAGGGTTGTAGGATATTTGATAACCATTTTCTTATAACCCGAATGTACTAAACCTCAAGTTATTGCGTTGAAGTGTTGTTTTTTTGTCCAGCGTATTTCTTTGACTAAATCATCCAGCGCGCATGCTTTAAATTGATCCTGACATGTGACTAGTAACCTCCCTGTATTCCACGAGAATTAGTTCATATTGCACTGCTACATAAGCCTAAGAAGTTTCGGTTCAATGTAACGTTACGAACAATATAATGTTACTACACGTATTCAGTATTTTGATCTTTTGTCGTTTTATTTATATCGGAGTGCAAATCCAATTCGGATCAATGTGTTTATCATGTTTACCCAAATTGTCGAAAGGTGCGATGAAATATGGGCTAAATTTAACAGAAAATGGATGAAGACATAGATACATTAGCTAAAAACGCCATGGGTGAACCACACCACCCAAATAATGAACTTCTAATCAGAAGACGGCCTTAGAAAGATAGTTTAATTATTATGATGAGAGCCTTTTGATGTAGGAAGAAGAATTCTGGAAATTTGAGTTATAGGATCAGACCTGGAAGTCGAGATCGAATGTGATGCAATGAAACCAGGGACGGAGCTTAAGCAGAAAATATCTCAACTTGAAAATGAGAAAGCAGACAACGGAAGAGTAAACACGGTCAAAATGACATTAAATTTGGTACAATCAAGTACTGATGACTTGAGAAACAGGACAGAGTTAGTCCAGACCAAGATTACTGGGGAACAAGACTTTTCAAGCTTCGGAAGCAGACTTGATAACATTGAAACGAATGTTTCCACTGTCATGGAAACCATGAAAAAGTAAGATACTGTAGAAGAGTTGCAACCTTTTTATAAACATGTAAAAATTATCTAAAACATAGACCTTAATTGATCTTTGATGTCATAAAAATATTCTTGGTCAGTTACGGATCGTTAGTGGTTCTTCGCAATGAATACCCGCTTGAGCACGGTGGGATACCTTAGATAGGTTTGGTTAAAATATTGTAACCAGTAATATTTTAGTTCACTTAAGTAAAGTAAAACGATTATTTTGAGTTTTATTTTTTTAACAATTTAGAATTTTATTCATTACGTTAAGTGTATAAAATATCACTAAAATCAAAGGACACTGTTGTATTACATGAAATTCTTTTAAAATGATAAGACAGAGTTGTATGATTTGTTATATTCTTTATTGTCAGGAAAGTCAGCTTTTCAGCGCAACTCAGGATACAAAACTCCAACTACACGCAACTTTCGAAAAACAAAACCATTCGATTCAACCACGTGTTCTATAATGATGGTGGTGGTTTTAACGCAACTTCCGGCGAGTTCACTGTGCCACAATCCGGTGTGTACATATTTATCTTCTTTGTCGAGAGCTACCAACCTACCGATGACAAAACTTGCCTAGGGACATTTGTAAAGTTATACGTTGATGGAGTTTACGCAGAAATGTCAGCCATAGCAGATCCCAACTATGAACAGCACATACAGGCCGGTAACTCGTACATAAACTACTTCGACAAAGGTCAACGAGTACTGATACAAACAGCAGATCTAGAGAAATGCCAGACGTCCTACATCGGCGGTACTAGCACAACGTTTTCTGGTTTACTATTATACTGATTTTGTGTACATTGGTTAACAGTCCTATCATCTGCTCATACTTACTGGGTTTTTTTCTCAACTCGTTTGATTCAAAGTATACTAAAAAACTTTCCCGTCATGAGAGAATATATATTATATAAGTGTTTTTTTTTTCAGCACACATTTAAAGTCCCCTACAATACATTGATACATTAATTAGAATGCATTTTGAAAACATGTTGAAACAAACTGAAACTAGCTGTAATTTAGTTAATCGGATGAAGTGAGCATTTGATCTACATGTATTTTGATATACTCAAGACTTCCTGGACCTTCCTCAGTACTGTACAAGTATTCCTTTTGGTATTTGTTTAGTCTAGGACACATGTTTTAGAATACTTAACCCATATACGAGTAATTCGGCAAGCAAAATGAAAAACATAATGTTATCATTCTAGACCTAGGCCAGACTGCATATCTTTGCCGTCTGACCAGGCTCTATACTAGCTGTTGGCTTTATAACTTTTCGGAATGTTTGAAAATTTTGTACAAATTAGAAAAAAAAGATGCATTCAAAATTTACATCATTTTTTGTGAGAAAAGTAGCATGACTTCCATAAACTAATTTAACCTTGTCACATTATCAATAAATATTACAGGAGTATAAACTTGAATATATTAAAATGTTTACAACTAGAGTAAAACATTTCAATAAAGACCCACCATATTCTGTATATGAATATTTTTCAAATATAAACCATTCTTTGATAAACATTGCCTGCTTATTGGTTTGCATCTTTAATTATTCTTCAGAATATAGATTCGATAATTGATAGTGGTGGACTTTTTATGGAATTGAGTTTTGTGAATTTGCATTATCTAAAAAATGGTGCACATTTTTACCATTACAGTAAAAGGAAAACAAAACAAAAAAACAAAAAAAAAAGGAAGAAGAAAAATCACATGACTGTCCATTTGTGTGAGTTGATTATTGCATGGAAACTATAGATTAATTAAATATAACATAAAAGTTGACAAACCTGAAAATCGTGTTGTTATTTTTCCTTACTGATTTTTTTCTTAAAGTTCAGATCTTCTTACCGAAAGCGTGGGCACCAGAAAAAAACTTAAAATACCCGGATTAAGTTAGACTGAGCATAAAAAAACTAGCTTAATCAGATTGTCGTTGAAATAAAAAAAAATCTAAATTGACTTGATCCTTCGAACATGACGACGGACAGAAGTAAAACTTGAGATCAGATTCAGACATGTAAATCTTTGACTTCAGATGGCACCAACATAACAGTTTTGCCTTTTCTTAGAACAAAGTCAAAATAGCGAAGCCAAAATCGTACTGTCGACCTTTCATCATCGTTGTTTCGTTCTTTCGACTTTTCACCATCGTACTTTCGACTTTTCGCCATCCTGTTTTCGCCTTCCTGTCAAGAATGCGCACTAAATGAAAAACTATATAAAGATATCAAATGTAGTCCGAAACAATTAACGTTTAAAATTAAGTAAAATGTACAATATACAAACCATATGCTAACATCATGATCCAAAGCCATTAACAATATTATTTGTTTGTATTTGTGTCCTTGGTAAAAATATTTTCTTACATCGTCATCCACTGTACATAATGATCTATGTCCGTATGCCAGACAGGAAGGCGAAACTACGATTACCACGATGATGAAAAGTCGAAAGAACGATGGTGAAAAGTCGAAAGTACGATAGTGAAAAGTCGAAAATATGATGATGAAAAGCCGAAATAACGAAACAACGATGGTGAGAGCCCGAAAGAACGAAACAACGATGGTGAAAAGCTGAAATAACGAAACAACGATGGTGAAAAGCTTAAATAACGAAACAACGATGGTGAAAGGCCGAAAGTACGGTGGTTAAAACACGAAATCATACCGAGCTTTCACAATCGTGGTTTCGTTATTTCGACTTTTCACCATCGTATTTTCGTTGTTTCCAGTTATGTGTGTGTCGGGATGACCGTAACGGGACACCGTATACGTATTTTACTCAAACACATTATAAGTTTAATAATTATATTAATGTGTTCGGTTAGTGCGTCGTCCAAGCTTTACAGCTGTGTTCTTGCCAAATCAAATTCAATATTGAACTCAGCTATTTAAACAAACGCTCCCCTTCAGAATAAAATACAAAATGAAATTTATAAACTTAATGATGGCTTGTTGTTTATAAAGTGTCAGGTATGGGCCACAGCAACTGCACGACCTTTTTTTCAAAGTTTGCCCGCCTGAAACCACTTATTTTATCTATTTTTCTTTGAAAAAATTTAATGAAATTCCCTTTTTAATTTTATTTGGCATGGGCATCACGTTTTGGTATTTTCAGCTCTTGTCACCAGGGTCGAAATGGCCCAATTCCGAGGTCAGATTTGTAACATTGACCAGATATGGAAAATTTGTTTATATTAAGGTCTTCTCAGAAACTGCAATTTCCGGAGCTTAGATGTTTGGCATGTAGTCTCTCCTACAAATCATGCATGCTGCAAATTCACCCACCTCCCATCTCCACACACAAACATACACACAAAGGTGTCATTTATTTTTCCTAGACCTTTATAAGTAATTGGATTTCAGTTGAATGAACTACGGCAATGTCGGCTCTCTTGTATTCATTTTACTAAATTACATTACTTCACACATTATCCATTAAAAACTAGAAATGTTTCCATAGACACTGATGCCCCACAATCCACTGTTCTGTCAATGCTTATGACTCTAGGTCAAATATTTTTTTGGACTACATGTGCCACAAGTTGAAAACTAAAAATCAACAAAGGGCAAAATTCTTTAAATTTGGTCGCAGCAAATCCTTCCTTTACTACGATCTACACATGTAAGGTTGTTAATCCCTGGAAGTTTAAGCAAAATCCTGCCATCCGGTTTAAGAGGAGTTGCATTCACAAATTTTCTACATAGTATATAATGAAAATCAACAAAGTGCCATAATTCTGTTAATTTTTGGTCGCAGCAAAAAAATTCCTTCCTTTACTACCATCTACACATTAAGGTTGTTCATCCCTGGAAGTTTAAGCAAAAATCTGCCATCCGGTTTAAGAGGAGTTGCATTCACAAAATTTCCTACATAGTATATAGTGAAAAATAAACAAAGGGCAATAAATTCTGATTAAAAATTTGGTCGCAGCGAAAAATTCCTTCCTTTACTGCCACCTACACATATCGTTTCATCCTTGGGAGTTTAAGCAAAATCTGCCATCCGGTTTAAGAGGAGTTTTGCATTCACAAAAATTTCCATATAGTATATAGTGAAAAAATCAAACAAAGGGCCATAATTTCTGTAATGTTTGGTCGCAGCGAAAATTCCTTCCTTTACTACCATCACACCTTAAGGTTGTTCATCCCTGTAAGTTTAAGCAAAATCTGCTATGCGGTTTAAGAGGAGTTGCGTTCACAAAATTTCTACATAGTATATAGTGAAAAAAATCAACAAAAGGGCCATAAATTCTGTTAAATTTGGTCGCAGCAAAATTCCTTCCTTTACTACCATCTACACATTAAGGTTGTTCATCCCTGTAAGTTTGAGCAAAATCTGCCATGCGGTTTAAGAGGAGTTGCGTTCACAAAATTTCTTCATAGTATTAGTGAAAAAATCAACAAGGGCCATAATTCTGTTAAATCTGGTCGCAGCGAAAATTCCTTCCTTTACTACATCTACACATTAAGGTTGTTCATCCCTGTAAGTTTAAGCAAAATCTGCCATCCGGTTTAAGAGGAGTTGCGTTCACAAGATTTCGGGACGTACGGACGGACTGACGGACTGACGGACGGACTGACACTCGGACGGACAAGTGCAACGCTATATGCTCCCACTCTGTGGGGGCATAACTAGGAAGTTTTTGAATGTAAATATTCGATTTTTTCTCTTTAAAAAATGCAAAATCATAGAAAACAACCTCAATGTCGAGTGTTTCTTCTAGGAAGACCAAATGTGCACTTGATTTAAGTATCTCTCAGTACAAAGTACCCACTTGTCTCCAAACGTTGTATGTACTTCCTTCTTGCAAAATATGTCAATAAAAGGGAAGAGCAGATGCAATTCGTATCCAAAAGTTGTATGTGCAGCTATATACAGTGACATGATTTCCAGCACCATATCAAGGTTACGGCTTTACCAGCCCTAACAAGGGAAGCAAGGCAGCTAGAACATGTTCTGTATTTTATATTGACTTTTGATTTGATCCTCATATTCGGTGTTATTCTATTTTTTCTTGTACACGAGTCGGAATCTATACAATACAGTAACATAATATTTTAAGACCCATTCATCTGCAAAACTGCTATTACATGTATTTTTTCAAAAGCCTTTTATTTGTAGTGTTTTATAACAACATCCGGAATTGTACTTATTAGTACCTGTACCAAGTTTTTTTGCTGTTTATTAGTTATTGTGAGGTAGTTTTTCTCTTTCTTTTCTTGCGACAAAATGCCATTTGGTGCATATTTGGAACTTCAATAACAAAGTCGCTGTATTTCACACCAACGCTGCCTTCTCATGTGAGTATGCATGCATATGACATGCTTCCTAGTTCTTTCTGATTGGACAATTTGATTTTAAATTCTATCCAATAGAAAAAGTAAAACAATCGATTTTCTCACGTACCCCTTTTTTGTCAGACGTAACTTTTAACCTATACCGACATATCGAATAATGTCGGTCAGCAAACAAAAGTTCCTTTTAGTATCACAGACGCATATTATGAATTAAAATAAAAAGAGGCAAGCCCATGCAATTATTGTAATTGTAAAACATCAACTACAAGTGGTATTTTCGCATGTCTTTTGTTTAATTCATTCCAACAAACTTTAAGTTATGAAATATATACTTCAAGACACCTCTACTGTAAGACTTTTCAAAATACATCATTCTTAAGTTTTAGCAGGAGTGGTCTAAGCCTTCTCTGAACATGATTTGATCTATGACGAATGATTAGTTCCACGCGTAGTTTGTGTACTGCACGAGAAAATTATTTAATATTTATAATAATTGTTTGACGTAAAGACCCAATCACGCTACAGCGTATAAGAGGAAGGAACAAATCAGTGAGAACATTTTCTTAAAATTTCTTAGGTTTTGTGCTTTAGAACCAGCGATTTCGAAGACTCTCCATAATGAACTTTTGGATAAAATATGAAAAGCCTATGGGTAACGTATAATTGACGTAAAGCCAGCGTTTAAATTGCGCTTTGGAGCGTATGAGGGGCGTAGCCCCCGATTATAAATCAGATTGCCGAGTTTTTGATGTTCTTTCTCTTTTGTATCATAGTTCAAAAATAAAATCACGTTCCCTGATGTCACAGTATGAAACCCCAGATAAAAAATAACCAATGAACGAGCATCTGAATATGATATTTCTATCGCTATCCCTTTCTCTGTCGTCACAATATGTAAACCCCAGACAAAATGAACCAATCAATGGGCATGCTCTTGAGTGCGGATAACTAATACCTGCACTCCAGTTAACGCACTGTACATGTATATGTATACGATTTAACTCTGACACATTTTCAACAGAAAGGTCCCCAAACTATGGTACAACTTATGTAAAGTCAGCCTTTAAATTGCGCTTTAGAGCGTATGCGGGCTAATGCTACCTTAAGTCACCGTCAGCGTTGCATATGAATTTCGTTTACGAGCATGAGAAGACCTTTGTGAAACGTTAATCAACCCAGTCAGTTTTTCGTATAGTTAAAGTACCATATTCTTAAGACTGACAACCATATAAGTAACAATGACAAAAATCGATTCTGAAAAATGTACGCGCCATCGGCATGAATCAGGCAGGCCATTCAAAACCAGACACGTAAATCTGCGCAAAATTCTTTACAAAATACTAAAGTAATAAATTATTGCTTTGAAATTAAAGGTGTTTGTTAAAAAGCATACAACACAATTAAATTGTAACACAGACTTTCATTAGAATGAGTTGAATAGGGAGGTGCGTAAAAAGTAAGGCCCTGATGCAGTTCAGAATGAATGAATGAATGAATGAATGCACGAACGAATGAACGAATGAATGAATGAATAAATGAATGAATGAATGAATGAGAATGCACGAACGAATGAATGAATGATTTTTCACAGATATTAAGGTAACAAATTTGTTCACTGACTACAATGACATTAATAAACAGGTGTCAATTGTTTATGTTGTATATACATTTCAAAGGTAACCATTTCCTTATAACCCGGTACTAAACTAAAAGTGTCTTTCAGTGTTTATCTTTGACTATGTACTGCATAATCTTGAACATGGAACTAAAAACTAGGGTTTAATATATCTTTGCTACATCCAACGCGTATGCTTTAAATCGGTTCTGACATGTGATTTTATTTACTTCCCCTGAATGCCAAGGAAACTTGTTCAATTTGCACAACGACAAGGACTTTAAAGCTAGAAGAATCTTTTATCAAACGTTACGGCGTACACAGTTAATCACAAAAATGTTACTTACACCGATTAAGTATTTGTTTTTTGCAATGTTATTCACTCCAGGTGAAAATAAATTTGCGGATACTGTGCTGCAAATGTATGAACAAATCTCGCACAGGTTCGATGATATATGGCAAAGAATATCCGGAATGGATAGCAGAATAAATGCATTAGAAAAACGCGTGGGTGAAAACAATTCAGAAACATGCAACCCTTGTGTAAGCCAAGGTGCAGATAATGAAACCTCTAATAAAGAAGACGACCTTAGAGGAGAAATTAATATAACGATGCGAGCAGCTTTTGATGCAGAGAAAGCAAATCTGAGAGAGACTGTACAATTAATGGAACAAACAATGGAGAAGACGATGAATGTATGCAATGAAACCGGGACGGAGCTTAAGCAGAAAATGTCTCAACTTGAAAATGAGAAAGCAGACAACGGAAGAGTAAGCATGGTCGAAAAGACATTAAATTTGATACAATCAAGTGCTGATGACTTGCGGAACAGAACTGAATTAGTAGAATCCAAGATAACTGAACAGCAAAATTGCTCAAGATTCGGAAGCAGACTTGATGACATAGAATCGAATGTCTCCACTGTCATGGAAACCATGAAAAAGTAAGTCACTATTGAAGCTTTGTTGATAAGATTTTATTTTTGTATACACTTGTAAACATGTAACGAGTTATTATATACTTTTATTTATGTTATCCTAACATAGGCCTTACTTATTTGCAAAGGGCTTTAATTTAAAAATAGAATTTTCAAATTCTGTTATGGATCATTAGTGGTTCCTCCCGATTAAGTGCCCGCTTGTGTACGGAGGGACATCTGAGATATGCCTAGAAAATCTTTTCAAAGTACGTTTACAGCGTCGGTGTGACTTAGTCCAAGCCCGGGCATAAACAAAGAAGAAAACATCTAAATGTCATTACTTTAAACTGATTTACTTATATCACATTTGTTGATCATTATATTTTAGTTCACTTTCAATAGTAATGTAAAACGGTTAATTAGTTTTTTTTGTGACATTTTAAGTTTGTTTAACAGGTGTAGTTATAAGATTTATATTGATTACATGTCTGCCTCGTTTTGTGCATACAAATCAATAAAATACAAGAAATTTGTTGTATTCAATAATTTCTCTTAAAATTATAAGATCTATAGGGTACGCCTTATCTGTTGCGACACTGCAGTTGTTGTTTTTTTCTCTCAGTTATTTAGAAAAAGAAAGAAATTGAAATAGGTGTTTATTATGTTTTACTCTTTATCAGCAGGAAAGTCAGCTTCTCAGCCCAATTCAGAATAATAAACACCTCAGGCATGGACATTTCGAAAAACACAACCATTCGATTCAACCACGTGTTCCATAATGATGGTGGTGGATATAACGTGTCTACCGGAAAGTTTACTGTGCCAATATCCGGTGTGTACATGTTTATCTTCTTTGTCGAGAGCTTTCAAAAGGTCGAAAGAAATATTTGTCCAGGGGGATTTGTCAAGTTATACGTTGATGACGTTTACGCTGAAATGTCAGCCATAGCAGATCCCAACTATCAACAGCACATACAGGCCGGTAACTCGTACATAAAGAACTTCACCGAAGGTCAACGAGTCTTTATTCGAACAACAGATACATGCCCGACGTCCTACATCGGCGGTACTAGAACAACGTTTTCGGGTTTACTTTTATACTGATTTTGTGCACAATGGTTAACAGGCCTGTCATCTGCTCCAACCCACCCTTTTCCAACTTGTTAGCCAGCCTGACACTCATCTTGTTAGTGGTTTAAAAGTATGGAATCATCAAAAATGTGTTCGCAATTTAAAGGAATATAATGTGATGTGTGTGTATATTTTATTGCACCTTTTATTGTGCATACCTTGCTATGCATATTTGATATTGCTAATCTCAATGTCATTCTATGAGCACCATATAAGCTGTTTTGAAAAATGTATGTGGTTAATTGTTAATGAAAATAAATAAGGAAACGTGTATCTAAAACAAATATTTGTACAATAGATGGTAAGGAGAACATATTCGAGCTTTATAAATCAACTCCGTTTGACCTTTTGTATCTGACATTGCATACATCGACGCTTTCCAGTTTGCATCTTTTTTCCCAATATTGCAGATTTGAGATATTCTGCACTCATTACGCATTAACTTCGGCCATTGATGTCGACATTGAAATGCCCGAGAAATTGCTTTTAGAACAATGTCGCTTTGTATTATCTAACCCACCCCGATTCGACAATACATCGTTAAATTTGATGTGATCAATAAGGAATATAGGATACGACATGAGCTGTCTTGTGATATAAACTTTCATGAAAATAGTTTAGATAAATGATATTAAGCTAGTCTCTAGAACGTAAGGTAAAGAATTTAGTCTATAATAATAAAAGAGTTTACAATTTAAGGTGTTATCTTGCTATAATTAGAACAGAGCAAACAAACAATCAAACCAAACAAGGAATAGAATGTGATAAAATAATATTCACTCCGATGGTTATGTGCAACTGATTTAAAAATAAATTTTCACTGCTTTGTTGAAGTTGACGTGAAATGGGTTACTTATGCGTCATTATATTCTTTTATGTGATACAGATTGCTGCATCGTACATGTCGTAATAATACTCAAAATTAAATGAATAGATGGAATAATGTTGTTGTTTTTATTCTATGTGCCATAACTATCAGATTTCATGAACCATCTCGATGGAGAAAAAAAATGCGATGCCGAAAAAAGTACGCGCTACCTGATGAATCAGGCAGGCCATTCAAAATCAGGCGCGTTTATTTCCACCACAATTGTTTACTAAATACGAGAGTTGTTGGGCACTACTAGTATTTTTTGGCATGAGAAGGTACTTCAATAAAATAAACTTCCGTTTTCCCTATACTTTTAGTAAGGCAGTTTAAATAATTTATAAAGTTCTTATCGGGATCGAACTTTTTTCTACCTTTCCATTAACTCAGAGGAGCGATGTAAAACAGATGTTCCATTGTTAACAAAACCGAAGGAACGTTAGTCTTCTTAAAAATTGTGCCTGATTTTCGCGTTCTTTTTCGCACAAATATTTCGGTTTCATAAGCAGCAGAGGAAATTTTCTATGAAATGCAACCCCCGGTAGATGTCATCAATAAACTCAAAAATCCTACTTGGTCACAACTGCATTATCTGTTACGCCTATCATTTTTGTTAGGTTTTGAATCACATTAGAATCGTCAATGTCATATCGATAAATTTCATCTTTACTGGACAACTGGTTGTCGAAATCCTCGAGTCGACCCTCCATGCAATGTTTCAGACAAGAGCAGTAACAACACGACCACAAAGGCCATGTTTCTTTCTTTTTGAGTAGATATTGGAGAAAGAAGATCAGATCAAATTTATGTAAAACTTTGTTTTGTGTGGTATTTTCTGTTGAGTGTTTATATGAAGTACTTTTCTTAAATTTTATGACAATTGCACTTCCTTTAAGACTAAAGAATACTACTACGACCAAGTGTTTTTGGTATGAAACAAAATACATGTATCCGATTAAAGTGCTGCATGACATGCAGTCGACGCATAAAAGGCGCATTCACTTTATTTTGGTAAGGCGAAGTTTTCGACACAACAAAATTTCTTTACAACTTCTAAAAGCATTTCTCTTTACACCATATATATTCATAATGCAGTAACTTATAAAATAATACAGGAATTTTACATTACTTACTCCGGATCCGGGCGAACGGTGCAACACGGTAAAAAAACGGACAAATGTTTTATGCCTATACGGCAGCTAAAATTTCAAACCACAGTAAAAAAAATCTCTCTAGAAAATGTTTTGAACGGAGGCATGTCCTGGGTCAGTATTTGACAGCAAAAGCTGCATTAAGTGGCTAAACGGGCGATTGATCCCTCATTTTACATCTCCTGATGTACGTATTGCTGTATATACATGTACATGTAGTAAGTAAAAAGAAAATTAGGTTCATACAAAAATATTTAATGCCGGATACAGTTCATAAAATAGTCAATTTTATCTAAAAAAATGACTGGATACTAAAAATTAGGATTTAATATATGTTTGCTATTGCCCACGCGACTGCTTTAAATTAGTCAAGTGTCCTTCTCGGAATGCTGGGGATAAGATAAGTACGTACTAACCTAGTCCAAATTGAACTACGACTTTAAGCTAGAAGTCTCTATTTCATCAAACGTTACGACATACACAGGTTGATTACAAAAAAAATGTTACTTACATCGATTAAGTATTTGCTTTTTGCAACGTTATTTACTTCATTCGACTGTAAATTAATAAATAACGTGCTATATAAACAAATCTCGCACAGGTTCGATGGAATATTGCTTACAATATCCGAATTGGTTGGAAGAATAGAAGCATTAGAAACACGCGAGGGCGAAAAGAAGTCAGGCATATGTGGCCCATGTGGAAACCATAACACGGATGTTGGAACTTCTGTTAAAGGATACGGCCTAAAGGAAGAATTTGTTATTCTGATGCGAGCTTTTGTTGCAGAGAAAGAAAATCTAAGAAATTCTGTGGAGTTGATGGAACATAACATGGAGACGAAGATGAGTGTGTGCATTGAAACTGTGACGGAGCTTAAACAGAAAATATCCCAGCTTGAAAATGAGAAAGCAGACAACAAAAGAGTAAGCACGGTTGAAAAGACATTAAATTCGGTACAATCAAGTGCTAATCACTTGAGGAGTCGAACTGAATTAATAGAGTCCAGGATAACTGAAATACAAGATTCGTCGTCTAAGATTGAAAGCAGACTTGGTGACGTAGAAACGAATGTCTCCACTGTCATGGAAACCATGAAAAGGTAAGTCTTTTATGTGGAGTTGCCGCCTTAAAGATCCGATTTTTAATGTAAACAAGTAAAATGTAATGAGTTATTTACATATTTTATTCGTGTTATCCTCACATTCACATCGTGACTGTGGGTTCGAACCTCGCAAAGAATTTTCAATTCTGTCTCTGATACTCGAGATTGGACTTTTTCTACCAGCTGGAAAATCTTCATTTGACATAGGTTTTGACTTAGTCCTACCACGGCCAAATAAAACAAAAAAATACAAAAAATACAAAACAAAAACAAAAAAGCAACAAAAAAATAATTTGTCATTGTCATTAATGCAAGCTGTTTTACCATCACATTGTTGATGTGAATACTGTTATATTTTATATCACTTGAGTAATGTAAAACGTTTATACGTTTTGGTTACGTATTAATTGTGTTAACATGCGTTGAGCTATTAGATTTATATTGACGCCAACCGCCTCCGTGGTCGAGGGGTTAGAGTCGATGACTTCTAATCCAGTTACCTCCCTGGCGTGGGTTCGATCCCCTGGAGATGCTTTGGTAGTATAGCAGAGAGGAAGGTAGTCTAGTACTGGTGTAACTATCCAGGAACGATGGTTAGGAAACTACCCGCCTATTATATATGACTGAAATACTGTTTGGAAAAGGCGTAAAATGAAACAAACAAACAATATCGACGCCATGTTCGCCTCCTTTAGTGTATAAAAATCAAGAAAATCAAGAAAATCAAAGGACATTGTTGTATGTAATAATTTCTCTTAATATGATATAAGCTCTATGTGAAACTACGCTTTATCTACTCCGACACCATTATGAGTTTTAGTTCTAACTAGAGATACAAAGCAAATGGATATAGTTTTAAGATTTGGTATCTTCTTTATTATTAGGAAAGTCAGTTTCACAGCCCAATTCAGGATAGAAAGCTCCTCCTCCATGCAGCTGACGAAAAACCGAATTATCCCATTCAACCATGTATTCTACAATGATGGTGATGGTTTCGACGTAACTTCCGGTGTGTTCACTGTGCCAATTTCCGGTGTGTACATGTTTATCTTCTTTGTCGAGAGCTTTCAACCAAACGAAAGCAACACTTGCCTAGGGGCATTCGTCAAGTTATACGTTGATGGAATTTACGCAAAAATGTCAGCCATAGCAGATCCCAACTATCAACAGCACATACAGGCCGGTAACTCGTACATCAACTACTTCACCAAAGGTCAACGAGTACTTATACAAACAGCAGAGAAATGCCAGACGTCCTACGTCGGTGATTTTAGAACAACATTTTCTGGTTTACTTTTATATTGATTTTGTATAGACAGATCAGTCTGAAAATGCTCAGACTGATGTTTTTACACGCATGTCGAATATATTTGCTTTAAAGTATGCAGTTATTGTAATAAATAAGCATGTAATAAAATAATATTCACTCTGGGAGATATTTTGTGCAAATGATAATTAAAAATAATTTTCCACTTCTTCGTCGACGTTCACCTGAAATGGTTAACTTAATGTGCTGTTGAATTCTTTAATGTGATGCAGGTTGCTCTAACTACCATTTTCTTACTGTTGAGCGACTGTTTTTCTAGACGAAATCTGTCGCAAAATACATAGAGGATATTGTTTAGTTCAGTGTAAGATCGGAATATATTTCACCGAGTGAGCACCAAAAGGTATATTTCACGAGTGGCGCAGCCACGAGCGAAATATGAACATTTGGTGTTCACAAGGTGAAATATATTTCGATCTTACTCTAAACTAAACAAATTTTCTTTTTATTATATGCAAAGAAACGTTTTAAAAAGATATTTAACCTAATACTGAATGATAAGCGCGCCAAATAATAATACAACGTGACGTCATTTACGACGTCACGTCATTAAGTTGGTACCCAGTTCTGTGCACGCTGGTATTTCACTGAAACAACGCAAGGGGCTTAAATTAAAAACAGTGAAATTATCAAAGTGGTAATTTCACTGTTTCAAGCAGTTAAATGACCAGTTTTATATCACTGATATATTTCTATAAACCACTGAAAAGCATGTAATAAAAAAGTATGTTCATGGGAACGTACATAGTTATGCCCCCGTCATGCTAATGGCAAGAAGGTCATAAAATTTTACCCCCGTCCGCCCGTGCATGCATCTGTGCGTGTGCGCGTGCGCGTGCGTGAGCGTGTGTTCAAAAACTTTGTCCAGCTCATAACCCATGCATCAAGGGATTTCGCTTGATTCTAGCACAAATGAGTAGCATGATGAGAAGGTTTGTGCGCAAGACCTAGACCCCTATATAGCTATTGGGTAAAAACATCGGTATAGTAAAAACAGTTTAAAAAAAACTTCACATTGGCTTTGAACTTTTTTTTATCTATTTTCCATATATTCATGTGAGCGATATAGGTTCAGATTTTCCCTTGTTTCCGAAAAATCCAAAAGCTATGACATTCCTTGCTTTTATGTCCAATTTCGCACAAATATGTTGTTTCATTTTTCATTAAAATGCAATAAGAACAGTCGTAAACCCAACTTAGTCAAAGTTATGCCTATCACTTTTGTTGTGCTTTAAATGACAAAATCGCCAAATTCATATCGGAAATTTCAACCTTTACTGGTTGATGCAGTTCTCAGGCGTCCCTCCATGCAATGGTTATTACAAAGATAGGTCCATTGACAGTTAGTAAGGTAGCTACATAATTGTATCATATTCAAGTCACTGGCAGGATTTGAAGCTACAGCGCATTTAAATGGACCACTCGGCCACGAAGGCTGTGAGGTTTTTTTTATTTGAGTAAATACGGGCAAAAAGATAAGATATTTTGTATAACTTTGTTTCCGTGTGATATTTATCTAGGCTGTTTATATGAAGTACATTTCTTAAGTAGTTTGATACTTATGTCAATTGCATTTCCACGAAGACTAAAACACCGCTACGATCAAGTGTTTAAAGTGCTGTATCTGTTTATAATAAGAAACAAAATATGCACCTTAAATGCGCATGTTTATTCCAAAAGCGGCATGACCGAAAAAGCGTTACATGCAATCGAACCAAATACATGTAATCTACGCACTGTTTTTGGTTACACAAGAAGGGCGTTCATTTAAGTTTGCTGAGGCGTAGTGTTAGACACAATCAAAATTTATTTATCAAATCCTTCTTAGCATTTCTCCTATACCATGTATCATGTATATCTTAAACGCAGGAAAGTGAAAATAACGCCGGATCTGAGACATACTAGGACATATTGTCGAACCAAGCAAGTAATCAGACATACATTTATGAATATTTAGGTATATAAAATTGAAAAAGAAATGCATAAGCACATATGGGAGCTAATGCATTATATTTTAAACAACATTAAAAATAAAAAAAATAAAAAATAGAAATGTTTGTTTTCAAGAGCATTCATGAGAATTACGGCCAGCTATGCTACCATATTAAGGACAAATTTTGTATTTTATCATAATTTTGTAGTTTGCCAATGATGATTCAACATGTTGTCGTGTTAACGTATAAAAGTATAAAAGAACAAACGCGAAGTTTTCAGCATTTACATATAGTTTCCGCTTACAAACACAGCCGCTGATAGAGATATTGAAACTCTTCAATATGGTAACAACAATCCTCCAAAGAATAAAAAATAAGTCATTTTTTAACATCTTAAAAACATGTTGATATGTACGAAAAGACATTATATTTAGGAAAAAAACAGTGAAGTCTGGTGCAATAAATTATTTTTGTTACAATAAACATACGGTGCGCCTGCTTTAAGTTCGTCTTAATTTGTGCAGTATTTATACTTCTCACATTGCATTTCAGTTTATTTACAGTTGAAATTATCTTGGGTTAGTTTGACATTTTAGAAATATATTTCAACTATGCAATTTACGCTGCTTAAAAACTTGTGTTTTGCAATTCTTCTAACGTCTGGCCAAAGTAATGTTGTAAATGATGCGTTGTCTGAACAAGTGTTGAAAAGGTTTGATGGACAATGGGATGCAATATGGATTGCAGTATCCGAATTGGTAGTTAGATTAGATGCATTAGAAAAACGCCTGGAAGAAAATAAGTCAGAAGAATGTGCCCCTAGTGAGAGACAAGATACAGATGAAGTAACTTCTCATTACCGGATTGACGACAAACTTAAAGAAGAATTTATGATTTTGAAAAAAGCTTTTGTTGCAGAGAAAGAAAATCTTCGAGAGTTTGTAGAATTGCTTGAACAGAAGGTTGAAGCGAAGATGAAAGACGTGGGCATAGAAACTGTGACGGAGCTTAAGCATAAAGTGAATCTACTGGCAAATGAGAAAACAGACAAAGAGTTGTCGGAGGATATACAGGGAAGAGTTAGGACGGTTGAAAAGACATTAAATTCAGTACAATCCATAGCTGATGCCCTGGAGAAAAGAACTAAATTAGTAGAGTCTAAGGCGAATAAAATGCAAGATTCTTCAAATGAGTTTGAAGGCAGGCTAGTTGACATAGAGACGAGCGTATCAACTATCATGGAAACTCAAAATAGGTTTGTAAAATAATTAATAATTGCAAAACTGCAGGTACTATTTTTTTTAGTGTTCGGTTCAACACATATAATTGCATAACATATACATGTATTAGCTAACATTGAATCTATGTTTACATGAAGCTTCAATGTTTCGAAGTTATGTGTATCTCTTAACCATGTTAGCTTATAACTAAAATATTAAATATTAAACTTGAATATTAACTTTATTATACACTTAAATTTCTAACCTTTGACAACAGACAGAATTTATCAAATTCCATAATATTTGTTTTTCTGCTATGCCAAAAATATGGTCAAATCACTGTTAGGTTTTCTTTAAGTTATTATACATTCAAAGAATTAAACATCTAATTTAATTCAAGCAAAAATGTTTAAGGGTTTTTATTATCATTTTATCATTATAGGAAAGTCAGTTTCACAGCACAATTAAGGCCACCAGGAGATGCAACTGCTGTACTATATAAGAAAAATCAAATCATTAAATTCAATCACGTATTTTACAATGATGGTAATGGTTTTAATACCACTTCCGGTGTGTTCACAGTGCCGGTATCCGGTGTGTATCAGTTTATTTTCTTTGTCGAAGGCTGGAAGGTGGATGAGGACAATGATTGTCCGGAAGCAATTGTTTGGTTAGTCGTTGATAGAGTTGGTCTCGTAATAGTTGCTGTTGCTGAGCCAGTGAATAAGGGACACCACGTTCAGGCCGGCAACGCGTACATCAATTACTTTACAAAAGGTCAACAAGTACTTCTTGGAACTACACATACATGCGAGACCTCTGTGATTGCCGGGTACAGGACAACGTTTTCTGGCGCACTTTTATACTGAAAATAAATACAGATTTCAGCCTTTTTGTGGATTTCAAAAAGTTCAAATGGACAATGGATGTTGCCTTTTTAAGCGAAGGAACTGATACTTTATGCAACCTTATGCAGTTAACCTCACGTATAGCAAATACTATTATAGCATACTTCTGGTTATGATGATATATCGTATTATGTGAATCAATATTGACCCTATCATGCTGGAATTTTCAATAAATTCATGGTATGATATTCCATTTATTTAATTGTATTACAAACACAAATTTAATAAACATGTTCAATAAATGTGATGTTGCGTAAAATCAAAATATCGCAAAATTTTAACATATGTGATCTTTATTCTTTATGAACGAATGCCTACTTTGACTTTTAAATCACAATGGCAGTTAATTTATCCTTGTACATTTCATTTTGGGGTAGACTTTAGTTTAAGAAATCTTGGCTCGTAAGTCGTTACTAGGTGATGGTCTGTTGCACTCCACAGGGAGTTCAGGAAGACTGTTGTCACTAACAATATGCTCTTTAATGGTTATGTCAGCGCCGATCATAAACCAATACGATGATCTTTAAACTTCGGATCTTTTTCAATGTCTAAAGAACAACATATGATTGCAGTTTCTGCAGGATTTCTTACAAGCACACGCCCAGAGCGCCAAGTATTTTTCGGAACATTTATAAACAACATCAACGTGATAGAATATCACCAAAATCATCAGACTTAAATGTATGATAGAAGCTATACGAGGTGAAATGAAACGCTTCATAGGATGTTTTGATACAGTGCCACAAACCATCGCCTGGGAATACTAGTATGCGAACATTGTCCAATAGTGAATAAATCTACCCCAATATTATGAAAAAGATTGGGTCACATTCATGCCATAACGCTCCCAGGTTGTAAATAACAGTCAGGGTGAGCATACAATATTAGGATAATTTTCAATAATACAGATATTTTGCTACATTAGCTTACAACGCACTATCACATTTATTGGGCATATTAATTAAATTTGCGTTTCTCATGAAATTTAATGAACGAAATGTCATATTATATGTCTTTCAACTGTATTTATTTAAATCCAGTGGAACATGATCAATGGACACATGAGACCATTTACACATGCACATTTATAAAATTTGTGAAGTGTATAGGGAATTATTGTATATAAGGAATTCATATTTTAGTTCTGATTGACGAAAATGCATTGAAAATGTTATAATTATATTTACACGAACTCCAGAAAAAGGAAAACCTATATTTATTCTACGCTTGTTTCCATTTGCATGAATAAACAGTTGAATGAATGAATTTGCATCTTTTTCAATAAGAAATTTTCATTAACATATATCCTATCATGAAATACGTCATTGATATTTGTAAATTCTTGCAATGGCATCAAGTGGTGCATGTTAAAACCTATTGTATATAAACTTAAAAATAGTTAAGTGGCTTTGCTTTATAAATAAATGTTGTACAACATGTTGCAGTAGTGTCATAATTATATAAAATCAATAAACATTCCTCTTATCGTAGCATTTGCTTTATATTACTTAATTGAAATAAAAAAAATGACAAACAAAAACTCAGATGAGTTATAAATATATATCTCCATAAGAAATGGAAGATGATTCAATTCTGTGATAAATAATTTGGTTCCTTATAAAGGTTCTGATATTATACGAAACTAGTTTGTTATAATTATTCTAACCAGTAACCCCTGATAGAAGAAACACATTTTCAATGTCCTGTAGGCAAGGTTCAATATCATAAATTAGTATAAGATCTTTAGCATACCCGTTTTTTTTTGTCTGACCGAACAGGCGCATTTGATGAAAACACACACACGCACGCACGCACACACTCGTACACACACAAAAAAAACACACACACAAAGTATTAAAGCGGCTTATGAAGTTTTGGAAGCCATTGCTTCCTTATACATGGATATGAAATTACTTTATTGTATATGTTATTGACATTTCTTTTTAGGTTTACTACAGACATAACCAAAATTCTTGAGAATACAAACATGTATTACAATGCATCATTACTCATTAAAAGGAAAATGTACAAGATATCACTTGACATGGCGCTTTAATAGCGTGATCAGCAATTCAATCTATCCTTCTTGCGATTTGAATTAATTTCCTTTTGCTATAGTTTTTTGTGTGTGCATTATTGATTACAAAATAGGTTTATACTTTCCATTTTTTTACTTTTAATGTACTTAATATCTTAAATGGACACGTCCATCCTTTTATCTGGACAAAACCATTCATAATTTTTGTTGAAATTTATTAAATAAGTACTGACTGAGAAGCGAACAATGCAGACCATGATCAGACGGCAAGGATGCGCCAGCTGATCTTGGTTTGCACTGGTCGCGAATTTTTTGCCGATTAAATATTGGGTTTCGAATGTTCCTCACATACACATATTCTATACAGTTTACGTTAACTGCGACCAGCGGGTATGCATTTCTTGAATATTTTACAGACATACAACTATGTTGTACAGTTATTTTGGTGCCCATGTCCAACTCGCAATGCGGGGAGTGAGGGCATTTAGCCATTCGTTTTCCCTAGGGGTTGACACTAGGGTTGAGGCCGATGGCGTCCTAATAGTGTAACATTTCAGAAATGAAATAAATGAGTATTTTTGTCTTGATATTATATACTTAAAATTCAACACAAAGATTTGAATGCCTACAAGTCTATTATTTCATTCCAT